AGCAATGGTCTATGGTAAGAAGGAAGACTGAAACAATCGTCTTACAATAAGCATAATGCCTATTAATGTATAAGTGTTATTTTATATATGAAAAATAAAACGCATTTTTAAATCCCAACAAGATTTTCGTGTCCGGATTTTTTCGTTTTCAACCTTTAATAAAGAAAATGAACTAACTAACTAATTAACTGCCAAAGACCAAAACGTTGGACATTAAATGTTTTACCGTTTTGATCCACCGTTAAACTGAAAAGAGAGAACTAAATGGTGTGACCATTATGAAATTAAAATTATGGCCTTCTATTAACCACTATAAAGGTGGCGCACATATGGAAAATAAGTGAGCAACCAGCTCCAAATTTACTATGACAGCACTGCTCTGAAATTCAAAGAATTTTTATAAATCTTTACGTAACATTCCTAAATATCTTTGAATTTTCCTGATTATTTCTGGGCTTCCCTGAATTTCTGGCAACTTCTATTAAGTTCTTGCAATTATACTGAAGTTATTGAACCTGGCCCCACGACTCCTTCTAAGTGTCACGGGATGGATAAACTTTTGTTAGTAGAAAGGATAAGCCTTGGGATACGTTTGGTAATCGTTTTTGGCAATTCATCAAAGGAACAATTTTTCTAAGTGGGAGGGACTCGAGATTGAACTCATGACCTTCTGCTCGATGTATAAGCATTTACAGGGCTGATAGCCTGCTGTCAAAAATAGTGATTTTAGTGATCATGTTGAAGAAATAAGTTACCGAATAGCGATTCATAGTTGTAAAAATAGTAACTCAAAAGTGACCTGAGAGAAGAAAAGTAGTTGTTCTGATGGCACACCAAATAAATGTTTGATGTTGACTTATTCAATAAATTTATCATAAACCCTTATGTACGTGTGTGCATGAACCTTTAAAGCGAAAGATTCAATAGAAAGTTTATGACCAAACCCACGAGCGTCTACTACCTGTAAAAACCTGGAGAACCGGGAATCCTCAGGAAATTTTATTTTTCCTTAAAATACCTGGAAGGCTCAGAGAATTTGATAATTTTATTACTAATGATACTTTAAAGAAAAATGCAAGCATTTAATTTTTCACGTTATTTTCATTTACACTTTGAACATGGATGGAGTGAACTAATCTTCAGTAACAAATAAATTTAAAAAAAAAAAGAAACTTGCAAGTTTTTTTTTTTGTTTTTGAACATGCATATTTCCTAGAAATTTTAAATTTGAACTAGTTCTGGACGTAAAAGCTATAATACTTCAAGAAATTTTCAAGAATCTGGAGTCAAATTCCAGGCACAGTTTTAAAGGCTCGTGGAATTTTATAATAATTTCTAAGAACCTCATTCCAAGGGAGTTCTGGAAAGAAAATCTTTCAGAAAAACATCATATACAATCTGCTTCCAAGGTATTTAAGATTTCTTGTGAATCCTGATAGTTTTGAGTAGAATTTCAAGAAACCCTGAATTGAATTGAAAGCAACGTTTAATGAAAACTCTTAGTAGTTTGTGAGGAGCAACTCCTTCAGAGAAAAATTCCAAGGGTTTTCTGAGCATAATTTCATAAAGTTTGTGCGAGAAAACGAATCCGGGACATAAGTCCTTGGAATCTTTTTGAAAATACTAAAAGGAGGATTATAATTAAATCTGAGAATAATTCCAGGACATCTTCAAACGAATTCGGAAAATAAATTCAGGAGAGTTTTGCCAAACAAATTATGAGAAGATTTCTTAGAAATTTGTGAGGAGAAATACCAATGAATTCTTACGAGACTTTCAATGTGAGTAGAATTCCAAGGGAAGGAGCGAGCTTCAAAAATCTGTAATGAATTCAATGAATATTCGGAGAATCTTTCCTAAGGGTTTCTTATTGTGCTGAATTTCAAGATATTTCCGAGGAAAACTAAATGAAAATTTAATTCGAAGCTTCATCGAAATGTTGAGGTATATTTCAATGGAAATCAGAATGAATTATTCTGAGGTCTTCAGAACTACTCGAAAGTTTCCAAATTTATCCTGAAGTTAATGAAACTGCTTTGCAGTTCTTTTTTGTTTGAGAAACTAGCCTGATGCTCACAAAACTTCTCATTAAATTCTTAAACTTCCCTGAACTTTATAGGACTTCCCAAAGTTTCCTCAATTTTTCTAACGACCATAGATCTCATCTAAAGGTTTAACCATTCGCTGAAGTTCTCTAAACTTCTTTAAAATTTATGTTAACTGAACTGCTCTGAGGTTCTCTGTTCTTTTCTGAAATTCTCAAAACATCTCTAAGGTTTTTGCAGTTTTCATGAAGCTTGTTGTACTGCGCTGAATTTAATTGAACGATCCTAAAAATGTTTACGCTTCACTGAACTTCTGAACTCATGGGAAGACCTCAGTTAAATTTTTAACGTATCTGAAGTTATCTGAAAATCTGAGAACTGCCTTAAATTTTCACTAATTTTCTGAAACTAATGAAACTGACCTCCCCCTGGAATTCTTCCAATTTTCGAAGCTTGCGCATATTTTTAAAGTTTATGCAAATTCCTGAAGTATGAAGAGTTCTATGAATTTCTCGGAATATTTATGAAGATCACTGTCCTTCTGTGAAGATTTCAAAGTTTTTCTAAATTTCTGGAAATTTTGTGCACCCGCAATTTTCATGGAATTAGAACGACATAATTAATAAAGTTCTATGATTTTCACAGAACTTCTCAAGATTTATCTGATGGTCATGAAACTTCCCGTAAATTATTTGCACTAATTTAAAACTTTTTCAATAGTCTAGACTTTCCTGGTGGTATTAAAACTGCCTAAACGATTATTGAATTTCCTCAAAGTTCTTTAGACTGCCCACAATTGATCAGTATTTTTTAAGAACCCGCAACTTTACTGAAATTAAATGATTTTCCTTGAAGTTTCAACAATTTTCCTTAAACATTATAATAATTAAGAACGCTCACTAATCTTCCCTGAACTTATCTATGCTTACCTGAAGTTCTCTAAATTTGTTTGATAATCCATCAAATTTTCTGATATATATATTCATAATTCCCTGACGTTTCTGACGTTTTCGGATCAATCATAGAATTCTTGGAATACCCCATAATTCCACGGAACTCCGTAAGGCGCTTCAAATTTGCTTAAGTTAATGGGATTATTCAGAAGCTATCTGATCGTCCTCGAAGTACTTGGAACTTCGCTGAATATCATGAAACCATCTAAAAATATCTAAATGTATTAGAAGTTCTCTGGATTTCTGAAGATTTCCTAATTTCTATGAAGGCCTCTGTACATCCCTGAATCGGAACATCTTATGGGTTCTCGATTTTTTTTCAGCACATCATGGAACTATCATGAATTTTTCTAAATGTACGATTACAGATCTTTAAACTGCTGCAAAAGTCTGGACTAAAGCTACGGAAGATCTTAAGATCTGAAATTCCCCAAAGATCCCTAAATCTAGCTATTCTGAGGTACTTGGAACTTCTTAAAAATTTGCCCAATACCCCTCATGTTTTCTATATTTCTCAAGTTCACTTGATACCTGTGAAGTTCTCTGAAATTCTAGGAACTTCATAAAAGTTCCTGGAAATTTTCGGATGCTAAAAGAACCGCTTTGAGGTTCTTAAAGTTTCCAGTAAGTTCCCCTTATTTTCAGCGTATTAACTTCCCCTATGTTCCAGCAGTTTGTTTATGGAGCTTCACTGAAATTTCTTTCCATTATTCAGAACTTCTCCAAAGTTCCTACCATTGTTGTGAAGTTAACAGGACTGCATTGAAGATCTCTAATCTTTCATGAAATTAATTACGAACTTGAAATAAATCATTTATGTTTTTCCTTGATTCTGGCACTTTGAAGATTTTCAATATCTTGAACTTGATACATGGAATACAAAACTTCAAGATATTTAATAATTTAAGATCTTGGACTTACTCAAATTAAGTAAGTTTTTTTTAACTTTATAAAGTGATAAATTAAGTAAGTGTTAAACTTCAACATTCAATGGATTTGATTGTAAAGCTGTTTCTTCAAAACTGATTTCCATGTCTTAAAAACGTTTGGGTAAATTTCTATTGTTTTTTGATCCACAAAAAAATCTTAAAATAAATTCACGCTAAAAAGATGAAAATAGTGACTAATTACAAGAAAAAGTGACTTTAGTGACTTGGCCTTAAAAACAGAGACTTTTTAGTGACTGGCTTAAAAAAATCAGGTGGAGTTTTTCCGAGCCTATTTTTATCACTAGGAAAGGAGCAATATTTTTTCATCTTCCAAAGCACCGATTAAAATGTTTAGTTGTCTACACATCAGTGAATGAGCCGGCCCAAAAAATCAAACATTGTGTCCTCAAATGATGGGGACACAACAGTTTATATTTGAAGACTGCAGAACATTTTTCACAACACGTTTAAGGAAGGATTTCTTTTTCAAACGTTTGTTTTTGAATTTGTTATACTTCCATCCCACAATTAAGGGCAAAGATTAGACTTGTCCCTATACAGAATCTTGTGAAGAATTTATAGGAAGGATACTTGAAGACGACTCTCAATATAACCTTAAGCAAATCTTGAAAAATGGCCCTAATATTAAAATAAATGGAACCACCAAACGAGGGAATTTTTCAAAAAATAAATAAATACCAAATCGCTACAACAGAGCTTCTAAGTGCTTTTGACTCAGTTGTGAAGCAAAATATTGGAATTTTATTTTTTTAACTTCTCTACCAACAATGTTGCTGATTTAGCTCAAAACCACCCGAGGGCAATGTCCATCTTCAAGCAGATTACATAGCGCAAGCAAAAACCTTTCTAATGTATTCCACAGCCGAAAGCTTTTCACGCTCTTCCACCTCGCCAACAATGGCCACGAAGGCGACCACGACGACGAGTTTGCAGCTACCGGATTTTTGCGCATACACATGTAGATAATTACGTTCGGTCAATTTTCGGCAGCTTATGCCAGGCAAAAAAAAGTAATACTTATCCTAAGATACAAAACAAAATCCAAAACTCACCTGTAGTAATCTGTTTTGCAGTAGATATTGCCATCACGAGAGAAACAGGAGTTGGCACCTTCCAGCGTTTGCCGGCAGATGCAACATTGTAGACAGGTAGCGTGCCACTTGCGCTCAACAGCTGACAGGTAGAAGCGATCCTATTTCGGAGCACGGACAAGAAGTGAGAAAAGAAGGGCAAAATTTCAGACAGTTAGTGATGATCAAACAGAAGTTTTTTTTTAATCTACATACAAGGATAACACGGAGATAAGTTCTGGCATTGTGAAAAAATAAACGCATTCGATTCCGTTTCAGGTGCCGGAAAAACCGCATTCCACAAAATTGCTGTTGGACAAATTGGATTTGGTCCAATTAGGGATGCGGTTCAATCAGATTAATGAAGTTTTATTAGATCTTCCCGAGTAACGACAGTTGACTGATCCGAGAAGGGGAACTTCGAGGGCTTGCGGTTTCGTTATTATCACAAAAAGTGTCCAATTATGCAGAGGAAAAACTTGCAAATTAATGCCGACCTGATTTGATGGTACCAATTGCAATTGCGGTTTTTGGCTGTCGGACCACCTAGATTTTCAACACTTTCCCGGAACGGAGATTATCGAACTCGAAAATAATTGGCAAAAAAACAGATTGTTCAGAAACCGCAATTGAGTTTTGCACCAATTGGGGATGGCATTTGAACGTAAGTACCAACCTGTATCGGCATATCACAGCCCGCGCACTCGTCCAGTCCGGAGGGTGGTAACTCAGTGGAAGATTCGGGACTACTCGGAACTCCCGGCGGTTCCGATTTGAGCTGAACACAACTGTTCAGCACCCCACTGCTGGCGTCCGAACAGTCACTTCGATTGAGATCGGTATAGTAGTTGGGCCGATCGGCGATCAATCGGTCCGAGGTGGAGTCATAGCTGTGGCAACTGTCGGCGTAGAGGTGACCAGGGCCCAGATGTCCCCCGCCACCTCCACCGCCGATGCCGTGACTCGCCTTGAGGCTGTGCTCGCAGGTATCCGTACAGGATATGCACGTCCGGTGGTTGATATTGTTGTTGTTGTTGGAGTTGATCTGGCAGGCATTGGTAAGATCGGGACTGCGCTCGCGGGGTGGACCAAGAAACCTAGCGCTCTGGTGCTAGAAATGAGAGAGAGAAAGGAATACGATTAGTTGCAGGTGCATTGAGGATGAGATTCAAATAAAGCTCATATCAGTCTAAACGATCATCTGTTCTAATACGTGATTCTACTTGATTAACGACTTAAGACGACAATCTCCCCCCCGATTTAATCATATTTTTAGTTCTGTATTATTTGCTCTTCACGCATGCTCATTTGCTCTTCATGGTGGGGGTAAAATGGGCACCCTAAGAAGATTGATGTTAAATATCGTGTGTTTATTCTATGTAGCTCGTTAGACATAATGATAGTTTAGTTTATATTCTTTGATACCTAATACAGATATTTAATTTTTCGGTGATAAACCAGCATACGGCAGAAAGTTTCGTGAATAATGAAAAAAAAATAATTAAAAATATGATATTCTACTTTTTTAAAATAAAAAAAAACGCTTTCTAGTTAAATTTTCTTTTGGAAGTGAAAGAACGGAAAGCATTGGGGTAAATGGCAAATTAATGATAAGGTTATTCCATAGTAAAGTAGCTTAACGTGACCCCTTAGAAGCTGGATATCATGTTTAAATACACGCATAACATTTTAAATAAACAAATCAGAGAAACGTCCAGAAGAACTCGGGCAAATATTTCTGGGGTATGTCAGCAGGACCTCTGGGAGCACTCGGAAGGAGCTTTCAATATAAATCGTTAGATTTGACCAATGTCAGTCAGATGAAATTAACTTCGAGGAGAAGTTGCATGACTATGGTGGAAGTCGCAAAATACATCCTAATAAAACTGGAATAAACTTACGCGGAAAGATGGAAGAAAGTTGAGGTAAACATTACAAGAAAGCTAGAATAAATTTTCAGGAGTTTCAGGAGATTCATTAAGGGGAACAGAGAAAATAAACTATCAGGATAAGTGGGCAGAATCTTTCAAAGAAAGTTAAAAAATCCTACGGATGTCTGAAGAATCATTCGAAGTAAATAAAAAAAACATCCGGAGAAACTTAGAAAAAAATTCTGAAGAAAGTCAGAAGAAATCGGGGAAAGTCGGCAAAAACATCGATCGTCGGATGACACTTTCTGAAGTAGTTGGATTTAACAGTTGGAACAAGTTGACTTCCAGAGAAGTCGGAAGAATCTAAAGATTGAATTGAATAGGTTCAAATATCTTGAATATACATAAATTGATGACTAGAATATGTTTCTCGAACTCCTGGACTAAAGTTAACCAGTTGTTTTATTTAAATAGTGCTGCAAAGTTAAGTGTCATCAATAGTAGCAAAAATACGTTTTTAAAAATGACCATAGGCGAACCAAAGTTTGAACACACTTCAGTGTGGATAGACGAGTATTACATGCGATCTTTAGCCATCAATATTAACTACGTTACATTTACTTATTTTAAGGGGTTACGCCACCCCAGAAATTTCAAAAATTCGATTTATTTTTTCATAAAAATGTTAAATGTTTGAAGTGTTAAGAATAAGGGATAATTGGGACAATAAGGGACAATAAGGGATAATCTTCATACAGATCGCAGTAGGCCGCGCTTGAAAGCTGACGTGTTTTATTTTTGCTGCGTATTTTTCGTCAGCGAATTAAAAATTTCAGGGGATACAAGTCAGAAGGGTCTAACTCGAAACGTAAACAATGGCTAGGATCGTCGGTTTCTTACGAATGACAACACACCCACTCAAACTAACTAAATCATCTGACAGAGCAATGTTTGTTCTATGAAATGGTGTAGTCAGATTTCACGGCTGTGTGGTCATTCAAGAGAAACAACGTTCAAAGTCGTTGTTTACGTTTCGAGTTATACCCTTCTGACATGTTTCCCCTGATGTTTTGCTTTCATTTTGTTAAATTGTGTGCTGAAATTTAGTTTCAAGTGTTTATAAAGTTATCGAAAGTATTCGATCTAGTGATATATCGTGTTTTGTCTGTGTTTGCCTTGAGTGACTCGATTGACCTTGAATCTAACCTCTAAAATCTACGACGCAGTTTCAGTTCCATTGTACGGTGTAGCTTTTGATTGCCTCCCGGGAGCCCGGTTTTCCGAGTTCAGATGCCACACTTTCGGCTTGTAGTTCTATTGAGAGATTCGTCACCGTTTGCGAGTTTGAACTCGGTCAGGCTGGTGAATTAGCCCGGGAACGTGCTCATAATGTGTCCGTCGCGAGGTTTGGTGGTGATTTGGTGGGCGACGTTGCCGTGAATCAGCAAGTTTTCTGGTTGCAATAGTGCTCGGTTGCTGGTCTCTCGCCGGTGTCGGAGATTGCGAGCAATCTGAAAGATGCCTCGCTGGATACGCCCAAGACTGGACGGGTGGTAGTTGGTGACCGCGAACTGTTCCTGGGAAAAGCACTAGACGCAAACCTCCTCCCAGATGACCATGACAATGCAAGAAAATTTGTGTTCGTTGAAGGAAGTATTACGACAAATGTGCATCACGAAATGAGATGCAAAGTTTAGAGAAAATCAAAACTACGGAGCCCATGGATTGCAGGATCAAATTAATAAATTAATAAAAAATTGCAATTTTGGTAAACAATTTTAGACATTTGTTAGAAACAAATGTTTAGTGAAAAAAGAGATTATTTTTCAAAAATAGCGTCCCATTTACCCAAAAATTCATATTTTTCATTTTCCGTAAGTATTTTTATAGATTTTCTTATCGAGATTACTGAGAAAATCCATTTTGATTTAGGTTGATATTTGCGGCGTTGGGATTGTTAGCCGTAGAGCACTACACGCAAAGCAGAGGTAGAAAGACGCAGTGCTGCCATCTTCCATTTATTATTTATATTGAAGAAAAAATACTGTAAGTACTCCTAAAGATGTATACTATTAGCCAACATAAGTCCATTTTGTTTAAAACTTGTTTAAGCAACAACAAAAATTAATTAATTTGGTTTATTTTTCTCTGTTCTAGGGTCGCGTAACACCTTAAGCTATTTTAACCAAATTTATGTTTCAGCCTTATGTCACCCCCTATAAGGTTTTATATTGGTCTTTTTTCAATCAACGAATTCCTTGATAGTCGTACATATATCATCGATAAATATATTCACATGTTTAACATTGTTTTCCTTGCTAAAATGTGAATGTTTTGAACAGTACCAACACGTCAATTGCGGGAAAATATATTTTACAGATGGGTCTCGTCTAAGTGGATCCACTGGCTTTAATGACTCTAGCGCCTTCTGCAAACTTCAGGAACCTTGTTCCGTTTATGTTGCTGAGCTGGCAGCAATCAACATGCCCGCAGACCATTAAATTCGATTGAGGCTATTCGGTCGATGAAACCAGGTAGGCACTCATCTTATATCCTTTCAAAGGTAAGGGAGCAGATGAGTGTGCTGGTCGAAAGATCATATATGATTATGGGTCCCCTCGCATTGCACAATCCCAGGCAATGAGAAAGCGGACTCTCTCGCAAAGGTGGGCGCGGAGGAAGGCGAATTTTATGACAGGCAAATTTCACACGATGAATTTTACCATTTAGTGCGTCAGAGTACCCTTTCGAATTAGTAAACCGATTGTGACACTGGAAATCTTGGACGGTGGTTACATTCAATTATTCCTAATGTTTTTTCGAGAGCGTGGTTTAAAGGGTTGAGCTTAAGTCGTGACTTTATTTGCATGATGAGTAGACTTATGTCCAACCACTACTCGCTAGATGCGCATGTCTATAGAATAAATCTCGTGGACAGCAACACCTGTCGGTGTGGAAACGGCTACGATGACATCGATCACGCAGTTTGGCAATGTGCGGATAATGACGCCGCCAGAGAGTGACTACTGAATACTCTCGAGGCCTAAGGAAGACAACCCTATGTTCCTATCAGAGACGTGTTGGCAACCCGCGATCTCTGCTATATGCAGACGATTTATGTGTTTCTGCAAATGTCTAGTATAAGGTTTAATTCTTTTGTCTTTTGTTGCTCTTTATTAGTTTTTGTTTGTCTTGTCCCCCCGGCTCGATGAGTCGCATCGTCGCCCACTGGCTACCATAACTGGTCGAACTCCTTGCGAATCTGAAACCGCACTACCGTTCATACTGGCGGCAACGCTCTGATGAGACAACGAAACCCCAAATCCAAGCTCCTCCCCTGATCCAATCCTTTGACAATGTACCCCTCTAATCTCGGTTAAGCCGCGAGTATTCGGCCCAACTTCTACTAGGCATAGAAATAAGTTAATTTTGTTACAAAAAATGAACAATTAATTATCGGTTCCGTAAAGCTAACGCGATTAAGCCTTACAAATAAACGAACCAGATAAAAAAAATGTATATTCATAAACAAGCAGTTAGTGAGCAGTTAGTAGTATCACATTTCAAATACAGTCAAGTCTCATTCTCTCGCACTACCGTTCATACTGGCGACAATGACAACGAAACCCCATCCTCAAGCTCGTCATATGATCCTACGTATCCCTCTAACCTTGAGTAAGCCGCGGATAGTCGGCCCAACTCCTACTAGACATAGAATATGTGAGTTTTGCTACAAACAATGGACAATTAATTATCGGCTCCGCAAAGCTAACGCGATTGAGCCTACCAAATAAACGAACTAAATAACAAAAAAAGGTGGAATTCCAAGCCACTTCAACCCCATTTTCCTTGCAAAATTCCAAAATTTACCACCGTAACTCGAAATTCTTTCCCAACTCGTTGATCGCAAATATATATTTAAAACGAGTTTACTGTAATAGGCTTTACCTTTATTTCGCTCTGCCGTTTTCTCTGTCTCTCTCTATTACTCTCATTCTCTCTTGTTCTCTCTCATTGTCATATTTACTCACGCTGCATCTATCATCGCAAGGATAGTGATTTCGATACATCAATATGCAAGCGTAAGTCCATATGCGAATACATCGCTATGCCATATATCTCAAGAAGATATATCGAGTGGACATATTGAAAATGGACCAAATTTTTGCAAGAAAGGGTCACAAAATCACGTTTGTTCTTATAGAACCATATGTTTTATTTGAGACAGCTAATCGTTCGA